GGGTTAACTAACCGTTGTATGCATTGCGATAAAAGTTCCGGTCAATCAGAACTGTCATCTTTTGAATGTAACTGATGCTAAGTGCCTTAAATGATTTCCTACCTTCTGAATGCAATTTGACGTGTTTGTCTGTCTTAAAATCTTGATAGCTGGTAGAAACTATGGTTGAAGCCGTGGCTTTTACCCCCTCTTATCTCTGCACTTTTGGTGACATTGACTCATGTTGATGTAGATGGCACATCGGTTTCATGGAGAGAATGAATTAATTACGGGACCTAAATTTTAACCGATTAGCATCAAATTTACCAAAATTCGTTTCGCGAGCTTTCTAAATTACCATATTACACTGCCTACGTCCCCTCTGGCGTCTTTATGAAGAGGTAACACATTATATTAGTGTTATAAATGTGCATGTCATTTACGCGTCTTTGAAAGCATCTTTTGTTTTCATTGCTAGATCAACCATGCTAAACTATCCTGTCTTCTCCGTTTTAGTTTTTAACACTAGGACCGCCCTGTGTCCAGCTCTCACTGCTACACTTTGGATACTGGTTTTTGCAAACAGTGGAACTTAATCAGTCGGAAATGGGCAGTCGTATCCGAGCTTTCATCACTGCAACCTCTGAGCGCTTCGTTAATGTGAGCCACTGCTCTAATTATACCGTCAGCTTTTTTTCAGTTTTTTCTTCAAGTGATCTAGCTTTTGCAACTGGTAAAGAAGGAATGTTTTTTATGTTGTCTGAACTGCTGAAACAACTTGTCAATACGTGAGGATCGCCGATTAAATTAGTTGATGAAAACAGTCTTTGACGTTGTTATTTATGTGAGCAGAAATGGGCCTTGTCAGTAGATAGGCCTCATTGTGAATGGTTGTCTTGCCGACCAGTATGAATAAGCTGTAAGGTTCTGTGTGCATGTGGGTTACCATTACCTGGTCTAAGGCGATTCTGTTCTAGCGTATTTGCAACGCCTTGATAGACTGATCTAATGGCGTTTATAAGGCCATCTAAAATTTTTTTGGTGAAGAACAATTCTTTTTTGAATGGGAAGTTAGCACTTGCAAAGAGGCTTCTAGCGGATTAAAATGAGCGTCATCTTCAATAATCTGATATTTCAGTACTGGTACGTATGCTCATAGTTAAAATATCAATGACCGACAGTGATGGTAGTATAGATGCTGTAAATGGCTTTGCACTCCTAGAGAGCTTTGTTCTTAAGCACAAATGAGATTATAGAACCGACTCACTGTTTCCATGATTGAGCGTTCACATTTTATGGGCCGATCACTGATTGTATGAAGTTAAAGTTGTGGCTTATAAATTCGGGTAAGAGCAGGTCTGTCCTGCACATTCAACTTACTCTCTGAGCGTGGCTTTTTATGTAAGGGGTTTGGGCTCAACAAATCTTTACTGCTAAATTGTTTTAAAGAATACTGTAAGCAATCTAAACAGTTTCGAATGCCTTTATCAGACAGCCATCAAGTTGTGTAACTTCGTGTGTCACTCGTCCAATACCTTCACTACTTCACGCAAAGGCTTCTTTTTTCAAAACCTTTTACGTCTGTATTTTTGTTGTTTAGGAGGTTAACATTTATGACATTTGCATCGAATTACAAATTGCACTTTTTTTTACAGACACCATTATGGCCAGAAGTAACTCTTCTCTATCAAGTTGTGGTCGCCCGTTCCGCAGTCCTCACTGCAGCGCCTAGTAATCCTGAAATCTATAGTCTACCAGGACTTGATCCCTCTGGCAGCGGGCGAGTTTTAGACAGTCTTGCTGCGGCTGCGGCTGCCGCCGTCCCTCTACCCGAGGCAGAACCCCAACGCATTGCTCTGGCTGGTCGTGTGCTAGATTTTGACAGCAGCGTTCTTCAATCCGCCCCTCTCATCGCGGGTGGTCGTGGACAGGCCTCGCCTCGCCTCGGTGCCATTTCTGTCACTAGTCAGAGTCAGCACCGGTCGCCCGCGCGTGCGTCGCATCTAGTGGAGATCTGCGGTCTATCTTCTTCCTCCTTATCCTCGTTTTTTCGACTTGGCGCCTGGAAGACACCTTGGAATCGGCAGGTTAATATAAGTGGTACTTTTAAAGTTACATATTTTCGAAATCGAAGGCTTGAGTAGCCTTTTTCACAATAGGCACGACTTCGAGGACTGTTTGCAAATCTACTAAGCTGCTATGGATCTGAGCTGGATCATTTGACGGCCCCAAGGAGTCCATCGGTAAGTTTGGTAAACTTGTTAAGGAGCTGCTTTAATAAGCAAGAAGGTTGAGCAATTTTTATAATATTTATCATCCACTTGTCTCTTATCTCCTCAGAACTCCTCAAAACAGAAGGTGAGTTTTTTTGCACACAAAATTTGTCTCTATCTTCATCTCGTTTATTTATCTCCGTAGCTTCCTTTCACCTGATTTCAATCATATTTCAGTCGACCTTGAAGTGATTGCACTTAACTTGACAGAACCTAAATGCTAATCCTCTTCATTTTTTATCCAAGTTCATCCGACTCTATTTTTTTTACTTAATTCTGATCTGGGTTTCCTGTTCTTGTTATTACTTTCCTCTATAGTAATCATGGGTTTCGACCTCGCTGTTGTTTCTGTTGTCTTTTATGTTGTTTTTTTGGTTGGGTTTATTTCCTTCAATAATTCACACAATTAAGTGGTGTACAGATAAGTTCTCAGTCCTCAGTCAATTTATCCCTACCTTTGGCATGCTCTATTGCCAAAAGGAAGTATTGTCGTATCAGTGCATCAGGTAATGAAACACCGGCATCCGAATTGAAGATGAATCGCAGATCTTGGTACATTGACAGATCGTCGGAATCGGTCTTTGAGGGCTTCTTTGTACACTCACATTATCTCACTAGTGGAATGAAGCTAGACTCGAGTAACTGTTTCCTTGCTCCTGCTGTTGTTATTTGTCTAAGTTGGCTGTGGTGTTGTGGTGTATTTGATTTTCTTCTGCTCTTCTTTAACTCCCTTCACAAGGATCATTCGGTCTACCTTGGTTGCTATTGCATTGCGTCCCTGCTCACCTTCTCCGTTTACTTGGACTTTAGGTGATATTCAGTCAGTCCACTGAGACTTTGGATCGTCAATTGAGTATGCATTCGAGCAGCGAAACAACCTCCATCAATGATGCCAGTAATCCTGGTAACTTTCTCGGTGATTTCAGTCGTTTTATCTGGTTTCTGTTTATCATTCCTTTTTCCTATAAGTGGGCCTAATTTTACATTGGCATTGTTGGTTAAAATTCCATTAGGTATTACTATTGCTAACAGATTGTCAACCCAATTTACTTTCTCGTGCCAGGACATTTATGCCCCATGTTTGCGTTTTCATGAAATGCTCAACTCAAGCATGGCGTTCAGCACTATTGCCAGGATTTAATCTGCGTTCATTGTTATTTATGATTATGATGCTAATTCGTTTATATGCGTCTCAAAAGTAACACTTTTAGCTAACCAGTTGTTTTAATTTCATCCTTTCTTTCAGATGACGGCCAATTCGACGACACTAGTAGTGCAGAGCGTGCTGCAGTTTTTCATGACCTAGACACCTACCTGGACGCCCAGTTGATGAACATAAACTTTCTCGATTTACCTGACACAGCCTGGGTAGGCGACAACTCCTCATCTATGAATGAGCTAAAAGTGCAAATTTACACATGAGTACAGTGGAAATCAGATGTAGATCAGTTGTGAATCCGCAGGACCATATGAGTTTTCGGTCAGCGGAAATGGCTCTATGTTGTCCTTCATCGGATTGTTCCTCTTTGCAATGCTGGGCTCTGTAGGTTGGACTGAGAGGAGGCTGCGACATTGTCCTCATCGTCCGTATTTTAATCGATGATGCTTCTTCATGTGCTGATTTTCACTACTTGACAGTACAAGATTGAGCCACTGCATTCAAAGTAGATCGTGAAAAGTTAGGCTTTGGCAATGATATGGGGATGGTTGTACACGTCATAAAGGTGGAATTTGTAGAAGACTTGTGCCTGCCTGGAAATTGATTGCGGAACTTTCGCGTCGAATGTTCCAATGCATAGATTGTTCTAAGAACTGTACTGCAATCATTAAATGTTGAACCTACGATATGTCATGAACATGTTTCCTACTGTGTTGTAGTTCCTCTGAGTTTCGTCCTGACAGTGTTCTCCTTGTTTCATTCATTCAAGTTTCACTCTCTTCCAATCACAATATTTATGTTTCCAATCCCGTCTTCAACAGCATTGTTGAACGCGGTTCCTAGACTTACAACCGTCTTCTTTTTCAAGCTTTTTTAGGTTCAGTTATGTTCACTGCCATAGATGAAAACCTCATTCGCTTATAAATAAGGCTTCTAATGAAGCTGTAGCCTTTGCAGGTTGAAAATACTTTGTTTTTGAACCAATTGAGCATGAATATCTGGAAGTACCTCTCATCGGAGCATTTAAGAAATTTGTGTCACAGATTTAACTATAGCATCAGTTATATTCTGCACTGACACTAATTTCTTTTTTGATTGAGGAGGACCAATCTCGATGTCCATGGGGCGTGCGCGGTCATTCCATTACATCTCACACCGAATTCCACGAGGAGGGAGATGATCAACAGCAATCAGAATCACAGACACAGTCCCAAAAGCAACCGGATCAAGTAAATCAGGCCCCTAACCCTTTCGGCGTTAGTGAGGATATAGGTTTTCCAAACATCGCCGTCGCCACTGAGGAACCACTAGTTAGCCCTCCATCAATTACGTCACAACATCAAAGTCAACATTTGCCCGAAGGCGAGGAGCTTGAAGTCGATGTGGAGGAAGAAGAGGATGATGAGTATGAAGAGGAGGAAGATGAAGAATTGGAAAGAGGAGGAGGAGGTGTAGGAGGCAATTTTCTAGCTGTAGGTGCATCCACATTGCCAGAAGCAGCGACGGAGCGACAGTCGCAGCTCTCACTACAACTTTCTGTCTCATCATCCGCTGTACCTGCAGCAGTCTCAGATTCTACTCCGAACGCCGCATTGCTAGCTCCCTCTACACTCCATCGAAAGTTTAATTCACAGCTTCTAATTGCATGGACCTCGCGGGATGATAGTCCAGTTAAGTGGCTAACTGATGCGCCTCCTGCAGCTGATGTGAATGTGGTCAATGTTGCGGACATCAGTTCGGCCATGCAGACGTACCAGGGGACTCAATCAAGTACTTCTTCACGCTCTTATGGACATAAGTAGTATTTAATTCATGAGAATCACCACGTCTGTTTAGTTACGGATACCATTTGCGTACACTTGTCTTTGAATTTTATAATCTCTCCATTTAGTTCCAAGGAAACTGACTCTTCCCATGCATCCACGAGCAGTATGCTCCCGTCGACGGCTACAGGCATTGACGACATTTGGTGGATCTCTGGAATCCCTGCCCAGCCAGCCTAACGTGCAGTCCACCACAGCTATCAAACCCAGATCCTGCGCTGTGCCAAGGAGCTTCCAGCAATCTTCCTCCGCATTTTCCTTCGCCAAGGTTCCTGCCATTACATCCAATGGTATGACTGATGTGGATGCTACTGGGCCACCAATAAAACCGCCACGTCGGCACCGTCGCTTCCGGCAAAGTTTAGAACTGGGAACTCAGCAGCAATCAGATCTGTCTCGGAGAATATCCAGAAGCAGCAACGCTCTCACCTTTTCTTCCGAAGATGCGAAAGCCTTCTCAACAATCGGTACCACTCCCCAACAGTTACTGATTCCAGTGGAAGTTAACTCTTATAGAATCCTTTCTTTTTTTCCCATGTCTGCTTACGTTTTTTCTGCACCAGACACCGTCAGAAACGGCGTGGATGGCATGTCAACGTCAGTTTAAATCATTTCAACAGTCTTCAACAGGAGTGGTAACGGGTAGTGCGCAGGCTGACCGTCTACACCTTTTGTTGACCAGCCTGAGGAGTACCTTTTCGGGAATGCTGCGCCGCACAACCCTCCAGGCTGTGAAGCTCGCCAATCTGGCCTTTTGTCGATGTCCTCCGGGTAGCGATCTCGATCCTGAAATTCGGATTTCAAACTTGAGTAAGCTGTCATTAATCTCATTGTTAGGTTTTAGTGTTGATTTGAAATAGAATTAGCAGTACGAATTAATTTATTATCAAAAGACGTTGTTACTGTTGAGACATTGTTTAAGACTTGGCCGCATGCTTACCTTCATTGGTCATTCACTCTGTTGCTCTCTCTACTTCTTAATTGTTTGATGCAGAAGAGAGTCGATTAAAATAGGTGAATTTCGTATTTTGTTTGATATTTTACTGGAAGATGTGTGGAGGTGGCAACCCTTTTTACTTTACTTTGACTTGTTTTTCCCCATTATTTTAGTCAAAATCGCCGATGCTATGGGTGATACTCTTCCCCTACCCTTCTTTGCACTTCATCCCAATTGTGTAAGTTTTACTTTTTTTTACTTTGTTGACAAATTGGACTTTTGAGTTGTTTAGGTAACACGCAAGATCTACTTGACAGTGAGTTCGTCATTGCTTTGAACTATTCTTCGTTTCAAAAATGTTTTTGTTTCTCTACGCTCTCTTGTGGTAGCTCAGTGTTTCTACACTTTTTATTACAGCAATACTGTTTTGATAGGAGAATTTGTTGGATACCAGCAATGCATTTAGGTGTGTTTGCTTTTGTTCACCCTCTTAACGGTGTCATTTGAGGTAGGTCTTTTGAAACAAGAGCTGCGACCCGCTTCTTTCTACTCCTACTCTCATAAACTACGTAGGCCTAAGGATGATTGCCATTATCTAATCTGATTCACCTTTCTGTGTTTGGTTTATCTCAGTGTTTATTCGCTTTCTCATAAACGCAAGCTCTGAGGCTTAAGGGTTGATGTCGAATCTGCTTTGCCTCAATTTTGGTACCTAGTCGCCCCTATGTCCATGAAGGATATTCTAAATAATCTAATACCTTTGAAGTGATCGCATCAGCTTGAAATAAAGTGCTTGTAAACGAGAACTTTTCATATCTGCTTATTGGTTTTGCTAATCTGATTACCTGAGGATGGCTTTTGTGGTTCGGATTTCCTCTTCCCCGTAGTTGGGGTGAGTGAAACGAGAGATCTGTGCGGTAGTAGTCGGATGTGGGAGAGGATGTGGCCTTTTACTACTGTTGTGATTGTTTATGGTGATGTTATTGCTTTGATTGATGAGTGAAGTGCATTGGGTGATTGTAAAGCTAACTGTCATTTTCAAGCCACAAGCACTTTAAGGCATCGTTGGTAAACGTCGATCTCTTGTTGGTACGATGCTTTAGTACCACTAGACGTGAGTTGAATCCAGCTGACGGGACTTGAGCTTACCTGTCTCACAAGTCGCATTTAACTCAGTTGTGTCGGTGTGCTATGCAGTAGTGAATGCGCTGTTCAGGTGTGACTAAGAAATGTTTTTAGGTGTAAGAGCTGTATCATACTCAGATGGATTCGCTACTATATATCTTTTTAATAAATGCATGTATGCAAGACTCTCAAGTACTGTTTGAGATGAGTCAAAAAACACCTACTTTAGCTACACTAATCAAGAAAGACTCCTCACCTTCGCCCCCGCGGCTTACCTTTTGTTTACGTACAACGGGGAATCCACCAAATGCTGTCTACTTTGGAGACATTTAGCACTTCATTCCTCAGAAATCCAGCGTGTTGTGTATGCATGCTGTGAGCTTAGAATTGACTGCTTAAAGTGGATGGAAATGGCATTCAGGCACGGTTGGTAGTGAATTATTTAAGGAATCATCCTCTTCTTATCGTTTGTTAGCAATATTAAACCCCGCATTGGATTCTATATAGCTTACTCCACCCAATTCTAATTCTTTCCCCCTCTTCTATCCTTATTCCCATTCAATTTGCGTCATTTCAAACCTCACAAGGTGTTTGATTGCCTGATAGTAATACGTGTTCATAATCATTCTTGTCGACTTGGAGAACCTATCCAAGAAAGTTAAATCTTAATCACAAGTTTGGACATTGGTATCACATCCCCTTAAGAATTGTAAAAATCAACAGGAAAGAAATAAGAAGGTTTAACTTTAATGAATTTCATTTTACGATAGGTTGCTCTCATCGACGAGCATTCTGTGAGTCTGTGTCTGGAATTGGGCACATCCTACGAGGAATGGGAGGACGCGATGCGCCAACTCGCTGTGGTGTGTCTTTCTATTGCTATTAATTTCGGATAAGGATGAAAGACGTCTCTGCTAGTTAATTAAGCATCTTTCTCCATTTCTTTAGACTTGCGCATCTTCAGGAACAACTCAGTGGCTGCAGGTTGGTTTTACCATCGTTATCATCTCAATTCATTTCTATCACCAACGATGAAATAATCACTTGTTGTTAACACGAAAGTCGCCTTTACCAACTTCAACATTGAAGGTATCGCATTTGACATTCTCCCTTATTTTCTCCTATTTTTCTCCCTCAACAGCATGAAAGCATCTGTCGTGACCTTCAGGAGGTACTTCGACGCTTGCTACTATTCTTTCGTTCCTCTACTGACCTCCTCACCTCTACATATCGTCAGCTTGTGAATCCGCCTCTCAGTGTAACCGATTTCACCGCCTCTGGTGTGGAGCCTCTCTTTGCTCGACTACGACCCTACATCCTTGCACCTCCGCCGTCACTGCCACCCAACTCTCAAGAGATCGGAGGTATGGAGGCGTGGAGGGCACGATGTGCACGACTATTGCTATGGCCTCCATACGGTTCTTTGCGCTCTGAAGAGGTGGATGCCAAGCGTGCACTCGCAATATATGCTGCAGCCATGAAATCTAAAGCTCCGTGAGTTTAGCACTTTGCGTGGTGTGCATTGGTGGTGGAGAGAGGAGTGAATAACGGTCATCAAAGTTGGGAAATGACACTCTGAACATAAGCGAAAATTAAATGTTCTTTATCCTACCTATTCTTTAGTGTAACAGCAATGGTCAGCGATTCTTAAGCAGTTCACCTGCTGCTTGAAAGTAAAAGTATTCGCTCGCCGAGATTGCCCTTTACTCCCTTTATTGCTTTAAACTCAATTAAGGTTTTTCAAACCAGACATTCCAAACTGATAAGTAATTGCCCACTTATGGCCAAATGAAAAGTTGGAGAGACGATAGCGGAGTGTGCGCCAACTTTTGTTTTTGTTAAAAGAGTTGCTGATTGTCGTTGATCAGGCATTTACAAGGACACTTGGTTTTGGTTAGTTTTCACGAATCATATGGCAGCAATAAAATTGATCAACAATTCCTTACGATTGTGACAGTAATCTTTCTAAAGCTCTGAATGCTCTGTAGCTGCAGCATCAAAAGTAGATTGCGTGATTCCACGTATAAAACACTTTCATTCACTTGCTACTCTCGATGCAAGAAAAGGTTCATAGTGCTGTCGTTTCTTTTACTTCAGTGGAATTAGCGGAATGAGCATCAAGACTACATCTACCGCAGGTCTAGCACTAATATTTCTAAGCTGGGAAGTTGCGTAACCGTCTTATTCTATTTCTTCAATCTTTATACATTTTTATAATTTTAAAAGTCACAAGTGTCTTTCTCACTCCTTCCGTTTTCATTGCAGCATTTCACTGGACGATGTTATGACCATTTTGGAGGCCTGTTGCGAACATCTGTGGAATGGGATGAATTGCGATTCCGGTGAATAATTTTTCTCCCATTTCCCCACTCTTAGAACAAATTTACTTTTTGTACATTGGGGTCGGCTGCCTTTCATTCCAGTTCTCAAAGAAGAAACCAGTCGTGTAACATTGCCTGGTTTATCATTTAATTTCCTCATTTTTTCACAAAATCACTTATCAAGGCTCTAAAAGCGGAAATGAGTGTCTTGCATGAAGGTGGTAATGACTAGCGGTTTAAACCGCTTGTTTTGTTCGCTCTTTGTTCCCATTTCCCAATGAAGCATTTAATACTCGCTGTAAAACTGAATGCTGAAATGGTTGTTCATTTCACTCATTCCTTTCTGTTTGGTCAACAGGCGTAGCGCTGGTGTTCGCACAAGGTCCGACTATTGAATTACACACCTCCGAGGCGTTTGCGTCGGCTACTTCGACCGTCTTGGCGCCAACGCCCTTCTTCACTACCGATGATCTTCTTACACCCGATGGTCAGGCGACACTATCGCCTCTAGAGCTTGTTGATCGACTTCTGCGTCTTCTCGAAGCTTAGAGATTGAACTGCTGTCGGTTACATTCCTTTGGTCCTGGAAACTCACCTACCTCACTTGTCCGCATTGGCTCTGTCTGTTTGTGAAATTGTCTACTATGCAAGACACTCGGTCTAGTCGCCGATCTGTCAAATGGAAGTGTTTGAAACAGCTACAGTCGTTAGTAGTTATGTACCCATTCTAAGTAGGTGGGAGGAGGGAGGG